CCCCATAAGTAACCATCACTCCGGGGCCCTTAGCCACCTGCACGTTAGGTTTGCTTCTTCAGCGTGCTCACAGTTCCTTAAGTGGTGCAATGGGTTGATTCACGTCCTCCACAAAGATATGCTGGATCCTGACCCTGCACCCCAAACGCGACCTCGTTTGGAAACAGGGCTGCTACACATGGGACTGGTTAGCCCAAGGTCAGCCGGAGCAGGGCAGGCCCCAGCTCCAGGGCACTCGAGTTCTTGGGAAAAGATGGACATTGCCATGGAGGATGCTGTGTGGTGACAAGGACAGGGAGTGAAGCACCCTTGGGAGCCAGGGTGTGCCCTAGAGGCCTGGAGAGGTGGCCTGGTGCACCCCCACTCACTCCTGATCCTATAACGGCAAGGGAACAACTTCCTGTTGTTTGAAGGCTTCCGGTTTGGGGAACTTTGTCATGGTGGCCTGGCAAGCTGATAGACTGGGGCTGTGGCTGTCACCAAGCTGAGTGTTGGCACTCAGGGTCCCCGGCCACACTGCCTCTGCCGGTCCCCAGGGTGCAACAGGAACTCGTGACATTTCCCCCCTCCTGTGGGCTCCGATCACCCGGACCCGGAGGGCTCCCGAGTCTGTGCACCGGGCAGCCGGGTGGGTGTTCTGGTGGCCGTGCAGCCGCTCGGCTTGAGCAGAGGTCAGTCTCAAGGGGAGGGAACCGTCTTCCTGACTAAGGTGCTAGGTGACTGAGCAACCCTATGGAAGAGAACGCACCGACCCCTTCCCTGCGGCACAGGAGAGGGTAAAACAGGTCCGAGAGCCAGGCCAGAGGTGCACATCTGCCATCCCAGTAACCTGGGAGGCTGGGGGGAGGACCTCACATTCCAGCCCCATCTGGGGGACTTAGTGACTCAGGCAGACCTTGTCTAAAAATAAAAATAAGCCCGGTGTGGTGGCGCACTTACCCCACCCTTCTTGCCACTCTCGGAAGCCGTTTCAGAGTCCTCTCTCCTGCGTGGAAGAGGTGTGTTCAAAACCAGCTGACGGTGTTTCGAGGAGGAGTCATGGCCACACTTACCCTAACAAAGTTTTAAGAATTTAAACACACACTGTGTCTTTGATTATGTCTCCCGTGCATGGCTTATGAGAGTACCAAACAGCGAGGCACTTTGAAAACTCTTTGTAGTGCCTCAAAATGTCCACAGAAACTTCATGCCTAGGTACAAACTCGGGGACAGGAAAGCTCCTGTCCACTCAAAAACGTGCAGCCACATTTCCCACGACCACTAAGAGATTCGAGGAACCCAAGGGCCCACCGAGCGAAGAGCAAGTAAGATGTGTGGTGTCCACACCATGGACTAGGCAGGTGGCGAGGCAGGCGGAGGGCTGAGTTGTGTCACGGGCTACAACTGGAGGCAGGCGGAGGGCTGAGTTGTGTCACGGGCTACAACTGTGTCACCGCGACATGCTAAGCGAAAGAAGCTACACATGGGGCTGGGGATTTAGCTCAGCGGCACAGCATCTGCCTGGCAAGCGCGAGGTCGTGAGTTCGATTCCCGGTACCAGGGGAAAAAAAAAAAAAGAAAAACAAAACAAAACAAGAAGCTACACAGACAGAGAAGGTCACACATGGAGCCAGGCCTCGTGGCACATGCCTGCAGTTCCTGCACTTGGGAGGCTGAGGCAGGAGGACTGTGAGTTGCAAGCCAGCTGGGCCAACTTAGCAAGACCCTGTTTCAAAATAAAATAAAATTTGCGTGCTGTATGAATCCATCCTGTAAAATGTGCAGAACAGAGACCTCTGCAGAGACAGAAAGGGCGCTATGGCTGCTGGGGGCTGCGAGGTTGAAGGCACATTATGGGGGGAGACACGCGGTGCTGGGCACTGCAGGGAGAACTGTGTACGGGCCTGCGAGGGCCGTGAGGACGTGCGTGGGTATGGCGGTCCCACAGGGTGGTGGCCTGCGTGAGGAGCCAGCCCAAGGGGCTCCGGGACCTCCAGCAGGGACTGTGCCTTACTGGAAGGTGTAGACACGAGTACAGGCTCAGAATAATCCAGCTGAGTGTGACAAAGGGAAGGGCCAAGGGGCTGAGAGGCCGAGATTATGCAGACGTTTTCACCGCTGCACCAGCTGCGGGGGATTGGAGATGAGGCCTCCCTTGAAACCTCTAAAAGAATTCACCCGCGGCTTTCCAGTTCGGAACAATCAGTCACTTCTCCGTTCGTGTTGACTTTCCCTTGCCTGCCCTCCCTGATTCACCAGCTCCCAGAGAGGACAGGGTCCTGCTGGGTTGCCTTCGGGGAAACGTCCGTTGGGAAATAGACACCCATACAGCTCCGGATTTGGATGGCCCCGGGATTGACTGTATATCATTTTGGCCATTATGTGACATGTCTTTAAAGATCAAATTGTAAATAAAGATGGAGAAATATTTGCAAGATACATGCAACTGACGGGGAAGCCTTTCCGTGTATGGTGATCCTGTGTAAATTGGTAAGAAGAAGCTGACAGTTGAGAGGGAGATGAAAGAAGACCCAAGGAAGTGATATTATTACAGTTTTTTAAAAGGATGGAAAAAGTGTGAGCTGATAGATGGTACACCATGGCTGAATCCCAATATGCAAGACGACAAGGAAGGCTCCAGGTATGATTTCGTTACCTGAAACTAGAAAATGGGACTAACCGAGTGACGGGACAGGGGTCGGGGGTCTCCTGGAAGTGCAGTAAAAAGCAAAGTAGGAAGGAGAAATCCAGAGGGGAAGCACACTTCAGGGCTGGTTCCGTACAAACTGGGCGTTTCAAACGTGTGCAAGGGCGTGTGCAGATTGTGCCCAAGAAAGCTGCGACAGAGGGTGGAATTATCTAGGAAAAAACACAAATGGTCGGTAACGCATACTTTTCTCTTGTTTTTGAGACACAGTCTCGCTATATAGTCCAGACTGGCCTTCAACTCACTATGTAGTCTAGGCTGGTCTCAAATTCACAGTGACCCTCCTGCCTCAGCCTCTCGAGTGCTGGGATTACAGGTGCATGCCACCACTCCTGGCCTTTTTTCCTTTTAGCATTTCAAATATTTTTAAATCAGATTTTATTGGTACATGTTAGATATACATAATGATCACATTCATCATAGAGAATTTGTACCTGTACACGATAGAACTTTTTGTTCTTGTCCCATTCCCCCTCCTTTAACTCCACCTCCCCTCCCCATTTACAGAGGCTTTGTTTCCATGTTTTCCTTCTTTTCACATTTTTTTTACTTTTCCCTTCTCTCCTTTCCCCTCCACCTCCTTTGTTCCCCTCCCCACTTGAACATTCTTTTCCTATTTCACAATACCGGTTATGCATTTTGGTCCTTATCTACACTTTCGGTTATAATGCATACTTTTGAAAGTTTAATATCTGTGGTAAGTGCGGATAGAATAAATGAGATACTGCCTCTTACCCACCATATTGGCAGACTCTTCCAGGTCCTGCTGGGTTTGGCACGGGCTCCGGGCAGCGGGCTATGCAGTTGCCCATGGAAACAGAAGCGTCACTTGAGGTGACACATGTCCCAGGCTGCAGCAGGATGGGGTCTCCTCCCACAGGCACCCGACAGTTAGGAAGGGGGTAGGGCCCACACAGCTGGGCAGTGCACACATCCTGGCCACAGGTACCAGACTGAGATTGAGGGGCTGGGGATTTAGCTCAGTGGCCTGCCTGGCAAGCCCAAGGACGTGAGTTCGATTCCCGGTACCAGAGAAAAACAAACAAACAAAAAACAAAACAAAAAAAACCAGACTGAGATTGAGGACAGAGACCTGCAGCCAGCTCCTGCTCTCCTCTGCAGTGGAGCATCTTCTGTAGGTCTGATCAAGCAGGCACCACCTGCTTCCCAGCGGAAGGCTGAGGGCCACCAGACGTCAGCCCTCCGGAAGCTCAGACTCCTCAGGGATCAGGGCGGGGTGGGGGTTGGACTGAGCCGGAAGACCAGAGACCTGCTGCACCCTTGCTGGCCAAGGCTTCGAGGACATCACAGTTTGTCCCTGGCCACCTCCTCTGCCACCATCTGAGAAGGAAGAGAAGATGACTTGTGGATGCAGGATTGTCCCTTAGGACAGAGGCTTTATGACGTGGCCTGTCCCCTCAAACAGGGGCAACTGGTATTTGAGGTAGAATCGATGCTGGGGTTCCAGCCTGGCCAAGTGACCCACAGGACAGAAGGAGTCCCTGAGTGGGGACCTCTGGCCTGTGCACACAGGGTTGGCACCATGGAAGTCAGCCACGGGGGCGGCAGATGCTGCTAGAGGTCGCGACTCTGCCAGACCTGCTGCTGCGGGGAGGAAGGCAGCCCAAGGAAGGCGTGGCTGACCTGCCATCGGCCTGGATAATGGAGAAGGGGCTGAGTAACCCTCAGAAGCCACGTGTGCATTTACCAGTCGCAGAGTGGAGAAGACCGCACCAGTAGTGATCCCGAGTCGTGCTTAGTCTTCTCTGCCCGAATTGCCAACTAAGATAGTGTGCAGAGAGGACTGTGGATCCCATCAGCCTGATAGATGGCTCGAAACCAGCATCTCAAACCTCAGATGCCAGGCAGCTTGCGGGTGGCACGTGCCCAGGCAGCGGCTGCTGACCAGGTCCTCACCCTGCGTGGTGCTTTCTGGGGGAACATGCAGACCTTTCGTCCTTGCCACCCTGCTCCCCGGGGACCTGGAGTCCTCATGGCTCTGCTGTCGGATGCATTCACGTGCCTGGTGCTGTGTGAATGGGCACTGAAGCCGGCCCCAAGGGAAGAGGCGACGGTTAAAGAAAAAGTGAGATTGCAGGTTCTGCTGGGGTCAGAGGGGACCCTGGGTGGTGTCCTCAACCACTGCAAAGCCCCAGGATCACAGCTCTCACAGCCCTCGGCTCCAGAAGGAACAGAGAAGATGCTCACTGGAGACTGGGAGGGTCCTGTCCTGGAGTCACGGGTGTGGTAAAAGCTGGCGGCTCCCACAGTCAAAATGCTTCATCTCACGGTCTGCGGGCTGGAAGTCCCGATCATGTCATCAGGGCCACGCTCCCTCCAGGCTGCTCGGGAAGGACCTGACCCCGACCTCCTCCAGCTGCTGGTGGCTCCCAGACTGCGGTAACCTCTTGCCCACCCAAGCGTGGGGTCACATCGTGGTGCACATCCAAATTCTCCTTTTGTGTGAGCATCTATCACATCGGGTTAGGACCTGCACTGGTGGCCTCCTCTTAACAAGATCTGTGAAGAGCCCATCTCCAAATATGGTTACAGCCCATGCTACTGGGGACTCGGATTTCAGCTGGTAATTTAGGGGGACACGACTCAGTCCACAAGCAGGAAAAAGCAGAGGCGAGGCAGCAAAAGACAAAGAGTGCAGGCTTTGTAAAAGTAACACAATACTGTATAATTCTGATGCACACATCAGGAATGAACAAACCGCGGCATCCATGGTTACCCAAAGTCAGAATGTTGTGCAGAAATATATGTTCCTGTCTCAAACGCCCAGATTGATCTACAGAGAGTGTGTAAAGACAGGGTAGATTTACCTCCTTCTCCCTCCGACAGTTTGCCACGAGGACCCAGGCGATCGATGAGATATACAGCTCAGGAAAGCGCAGTATTAAACTGTCATTTTGTCAATAAAACGTCATTTCATCAATATAATGCCTGTGCGCCTGAATGTTTCTGCATAATTAATTCTGCTGATGCATTAAGGAATGTTATACACAATATTAATCAAAAAGTAGTGTCAATAGTAGGGTAATATATAAACCCAGATATAAGGATTACAAACCTCTTTGAAAGTTGTATTCCCACCGAGACACTTCTCATCTAGGAATATTTGTATTTTTTTCATAAAACTGCAATTTAAAAAATTAGTCAGTCAAGGAAAAGCAATTAGAGTAATACAGAGAAACCTCCAGGGAAATTAATTTTTTACAAAACATTGTTTGATAAATTGCACTCGGTGTTTGGAAAGTCCTGGACAGATGAGAACGGCCGTGACCCCGCGCCGTGGGTGGTTCTGCCACCTGTGAGGTGCTGTTGTCACTTCTGACAGCCCCCAGGGAGCCCTAACATCACACGGCCAGGAGCCAGGATGACCCGTGGAGATCTGGGTGTCTTTGCAGCAACTGGCCTGTTCCAGAACCTCGAGGCCACCTCAGAGGGCCAGGCAGGCTCTGGGAGAACAGGATCTGACCCTGGGGATCCCTGTTCCATCCCCTTTACCTCCTCGGTGCCTTCCCTGATTCCTGAGCTCCACCCCTGCGCTGATCCAGGGTGCTCAACACTTCTGCTTTCCTTCTGTCGGAGGCCACAGCCTGCCCGCCCTTCCCGTACCTTCTCAGCGCTCACCATGGGACCTGAGCCCCAACGCGCCACCCGCCACGGCTGTCGGCTTTGTTGGCCTTGAGTGGGCACACGGGGCTCCCTCACCCTGCCGGGTCCCCACCACAGGCTGTGGATGAGGTGTCCCTGCTGCTGCCCACTCGGTGGCGATATCACACAGACCCTCTTTCCCACCACCTTCTGCACCTAAGACCCGCCTGTGGGTGGGCATGTGGGAAGCGGGGACCAGAGAGTCACATTCGGAAGACACCTTCCTATGGGACTGCGGAAGGCACCTGGTGGGGCTGTGGCCTCAGAAGCCAACGGCCTGGGACTGTGAGCCTCGTGGCAAGGACTCGGGGCTGCCTGTGCAGGCGCTTGCATGCCTGGGGTGCCACCCAGCCTGGTCCCGGCCACTCTGGCCTGGACACAGATACAGAGCCAGTTCCCAGTGCGGTGACTGTAGAATGGCTGCCAGTCTCTGAGCCTCAGTCTCCTGATCTGGGAAATGGGGAGTGGTAGCATCAGCAGAACGGCACTGCAGAAACACAAGAAGGGACTGCGCTCCAGGCTGGGGCCCCGCCCAGACCAGGAGCCCGGGCGCAGCCTCTGTCTCAGTCTCGGCTCTCAGGCACGTGCCCCACATCGCCGCCCCCGCGCGGCCCAGGATGCTCGAGCAGTCCTCAGGTAACAAGGCCTTGAGGAGCTCAGCAGGTGAGGGGCTCTGCGCACCTGGGCAGCTGCCACACCCACTCCCAGGGTCCTCCTTCTGGGATTGACAAACATTATCTCCACTTTACAGATAAGATAAGGACACCAAAACCGCAGGGATTAAGTGACATGCTGAGGTCACACAGTGACCTGGGTGAGAGAGGCCACGACCCCAGCCGGCCAGGCCAGAGCCCGGCGCCCAGGAGACCGCGTGCTGCTCAGAGGTGCAAGTCACACACAAGCGGCAGCTGTGGGTTTCTGAGCTTCAGATGCATCGCTCACTCACACGACCCTGTTCTGAGAAGCTTCCCCACCAATTTGGCAACCTCCACTTTGCAAGGCTCCTAAATTTCCTCTTTGATTTTTAATTTTTTCAGGCAGGGACAGCATTGCCTGGCTCACCACCGGCATCGCTGGGCCACCTTGGCTGGCTCAGATTCCTAAAATTTAAAAAGCCACATTTGATGGAAAAGTGCATAGTACAGAATTGAATTTTTATTCACAACAGTCAGGTGAAGTTATTGTTGTGAACTGTTTTACATTTTTCTTTGATATCTTCAGAGACGACACTTGAATGCATTTTAATATAAAGGTTAATGTTGCATTAATAAAGGGCAGATGGGCACGCGATTGTAGATCACCTGATGGACTCTTTTAAAACCTCTTTAGCTGGCAAGACAGATATTATTGCCTCTGTATATCATTAGGACGCTCCCGTTTGAAGCAAATAGTCCTTATTAATTTAATTATTAAACCAAATTTGCAATCATTACAATCTCTTGCAAAAGAAAAATTGTATTATCAATATATTTCCCATCAAGTATTCCTAGGAGCTTACAATTATCTATAGATCTATTCCTGCTCTGAATGAGGTCCTATGTGTTAAATATTTTATCTTCTTCCTCTGATACCTCTTATCATCTAAACATGTTTTATAACAGCTTGGGAAAGGCAAGCTCCGTCTCCGAAGTTAAGGGCCCTCAGTGAAACGAGCGGTGATCCTGATGTATGTAAGTCAGGCAATAATTCCCACTTTCTGTCTGTCTAGCGTTTTCCCCTTGTGGCAAGATAAGTGTGAAAGATTCGCTAACTGAAAAAAAGTACAGCTCTGTAATCATTTAGGATAATGAAAAGGTGACAGTGATGCGGGCTGTGAGAATATTAATAAAATGTGTCCTAAGTTGCTCTTTAACTAAATCAATAGATCTCCACATAGAGGCTCCAGAGCTCTCTGGAGGGGCCACCGGCAGGGGGCAGTGTCCTTTGGGTCACGTCCACATTTTAAAAGCTTTCTGAAGCCTACAGTCCTCCCTGTCCCATGAGGGCCCTTCACTGGAGCCTTTAGACCCTCACGTTGGAACGGGGATTAGCACGCCTGTTCTATACAGCCTCTCTCTGTCTCTCTCTCTCTGGCTGCTGGGCCCTAGAAACTCAATATGTGCTGACAGTTTTAAAGAAAGCAATGAAATGTACTGTTAAATTCAGTTTGCTGTGCTACTCTAAGGAGGAGATGAGAGCGGTCCTTCCTGCCACAATGCTCAAGAAGCACCCAGCTGAACACAACCTTATATCCATGTAAGTCTGCCTATTAAAACAGATTTCTAGTGAACACCAAAAAGCATAGATGACTACCTCTCATTACCAGACGCTTCACCAGGGAACAAGGGGGAAAGAAGACACTAACTCAGGGGGAAATATGGAAGGGACAACCAGCGGTCAGTGGATTTTAATGGTCCCTGTTCTGATAAATGGCCACTCGCTCTTTAGAACACACCGGCCAGCGCCCAGGGGCTGTAATAGAGCAAGAATGTTGCTCTGCTCTTGTCTGGAGAGGAATGGCTTCTAATTACTTGAGAACTGACATGACTCTTGGCCTGGTCTCCCAGGTCACTCACTGTCTTTCCTCCTTGCCACTTGCGGAATGAAGGGCCCCAGGGAGGGTGAATCTGCCCGAGTCTATCAGACGAGATCGGCCGCGGTCAGGGAGGTCCAGCTGTGGACTGCCGGTGTCTATCAGAGCCTGAACATCTCCCCCGCTTCCACCAAGTATTCCTGGGTATTCCCAAGTATTCCTGGTACAGAGCAAGGAATGTGGCTTTCAGCACTTTGTAGGAAATCGTGAAAGGTGACGGATCGGTCCCGACGCAGAGCAAACCAGACCTCCTGCAGGACGAGACTTCTATCTTGTTCTACAGAAGCCAGGAGAGTAAGTGGGTCTGCAGAGCGGCGCCGGGCTGTGTAGTACTCCACAGCTTTTGGGTGGTTCTTGAATTTAGTGCTACACGCTAAAAACTAAAGCCAAAGAGCAGCCAGTCAGCCATCTGGGCAGGACTGGCACCCTCACTGGCTCCCCAGCGAACCCCCAACTGTAGGAGTCTGGCTTTGGTGGCTTTGGGGAAGGCAAGGTCGAGCTGGGTTGATGTAGTGTGTTATTAGCTGTTTATACAGTACTGAAGCGGCACATGACGTATGAAAAATGACTTTCCGATCCCAGGGAATAAATCAGGCCTAGCAAGTGATTCCACTTAATACTTAGCTTTAGCCAGTAAAATATTACACCTGCTATTACTCAGGGCAAACACAGCCCCTTCCATTTGTTTATTGAGGCAACCATTTATTTGAGGACATTTAATTGCAATAGTGAAGGCTGACTTGGGGGTTAATCCCAGTTTATCGATGCAATTAAAAGCAGTGTGTGCTGGGTCTCATATTTATTATCTCAAGGTAGAATGTTGACACAGCCCAGTGTCGCACTGGGTGTGCTCAAGGGTATCTGTGCTGTGCAAGGTGTGAGGTGGGGTGGCCGACGGGCGAACGGCAAACACGCTGCGTTCTGCGGCAGCGTTTGCATAATCTAATTGGGAAAAGGCTTCTAATTTGATTTTACTTGGAGCAACATGAGTTTAAATTGTTCTATAGATCCAGCACTGTTTGGTTTCTTGTCAATGATTCATGGTATTTTAATGCTCAATGGGCACACAGGAAAACTTCTCATCGCACATTTGGCAGCATTCCACGATTACCTTGGCCTAAATTCCACCCCCTGTTCCTCCCCCAAGTGCTAGATCCCTTCCCCCTAAAGTGCAGGTTTCCTAAGCTCAGGTCCAAGTCAGCTCCGGGGCATCTGCCCTGTCTCGGCCTGACGGTCCTGGCCCCTTGTGCACTCAGCCGGGTGGTCGGCCTGGGGCTTGGATGAGAATCTGCGGCTGCCCCATCCTGGGTCCCCTGTGAGACACAGGCAAAGAGGGCAACTGCGAAGGCCATACAGACCTTTCTCTTTAGGGAACCCCTCCCAGCTCATTTCACAAATCCAGCGTTACACTGACCCCAAGGCCAAACACAAATACTAAAGGAAAGAAGATGACAGGCTCATCTCCCTGATGGACAGAGATGCAAAAGTCCTCAGCAAAATGCTGGAAAACTGAACTCAAGAAACATGAAAAGGATCACTCCCAGAATCACTGGGATTTATCTCTGGGATGCCAGGGTGGTTTAACAAATCAATATTGTGGGGCTGGGGATTTAGCTCAGTGGCAAAGTGCCTGCCTGTCAAGCGCAAGGTCGTGAGTTCAGTTTCCGGTACCGGAGAAAAACCAAAAAAAACAAAACAAAAACAAAAACAAAAAACAAAAAAACAAATCAATATTGTGATACATAACTGCAAAGGAACAAAGGACAAAAAAACCCATATTATCATCTCACTAGATACATAAAATATCTGACACAATTTAACATGCTCTTTTGATAAAAACACTTATCACACGACGCTTACAAAGACTATGCTTCAATGCAATAAAGGCCTGTCTGACAGATTCTGCGCTAACATTATCGGCCAATAGCTAAAGCTGTTCCTCTAGGATCAGGAGGAAGACAGGGATGCCTGCTCCCTGTCCCATCGAGCACGGTGCTAGAGGCCCTAGCCAGGGCCATGGGGCAAAAGTTTCCATGGAGAGGAAGAAGTAAAACTGCCTCTGTCCTCCAATGACATGATTTTATATAAAGATAACTCTACCAAGTGCTCCACAAAAAATGTTAGAACTTATAAAAAATTCAGTGTAGTGACAGGATATAAAACCAACATACAAAAAATAAGCAGCATTTCCATACACTAGTGGTGAATTGTCTGAAAAGAAAAATTTTAAATAATCCCATTTACACTAACAGTAAAAAAGAATAAAATACTTATGTGTATTAAAAACTGTAAAGCATTGATTAAAGAAATTGAAGACTACAAATAAATGGAAAGGTATTCCCAAGTTCACAGATCAGAGGAATTAATATTGTTTTTGTCTGTTTGTTTGTGTTTGTTTTTTTCTGGTACCGGGAATCGAACCCATGACCTTGCACTTGCCAGGCAGGCGCTGTGCCTCTGAGCTAAATCCCCAGCCTCTGGAATTAATATTGTTAAAAATGTCCTTACCAGGCCGGGGATTTAGCTCAGTGGCGCAAGTGCCTGCCTGGCAAGCGTGAGGTTGTGAGTTTGATTCCCGGTACTGAAAAAAAAAAAATTGTCCTTACTATCCAAAGAGATGTATAGATTCAACACAATCCCTGTCAAATTCCAACTGCATTTTCCACAGAAGGAGGAAAAAAATCCTAAAATTCATATGGAACTACAAAAGACCCCCCAAGAGCCAAAACCATTTTGAGAGAGACCAAAGTTGAAAGCATCTCACTTCATAATTTCAGAATGTATTAGGAAGTTGTAGAAGTCAAAACAGCATGGTACTGGCATAAAAACGGATGCGGAGACTAATGGAACAGGACCAAAGGCCAAGAAATCAACCCACACTTATAAAGTCAAGAAATATCTGAGAGGGCTGCCAAGGATACAGCACGCGAGAGGCTAGACTCTCTCAAAACTGATGCTGGGGAGTGCTGGGGATGCAGCTCAGTGGTAGAGCGCTTGCCTAGCACCGAACCCTGTAAGGAGTAAAGCAGCAAAGAAGGAAGGGAGCGAGGGAAGGGGCGGAGGGAGAGGAAGAAGGGAAAGGGAGAGGGAGGACAGAGGGAGGGAGAAAGGGGGGAAGGGAAGAAGGAAGGAAGGACGGGAAAACTGGATGTCTGCAAAAGCAACAGTGAGGCTTGTCCTTGTCTTTACCACTCCCAAAAATTAACTCAAAATGGATAAAATGGGTTACAGACTCAAAAGAGACTGGCCACTCTAGAACTCTCAGAAGCAAACACAGAGGAAAAGCCCCTTGACAGTGGTCTCTCCAATGCCTTTTTGAATATGAGTCCCAAAGCACAGAAAACAAAGATAAAAAATGAACAAGCGGTTCACACTTAACCAGAAAGCTTCTGCCCAGCAAAGGAAACAAGGAAGTGAGCAGGCAGCCCGCGGCAGGTGGGAACCTTTGCAAGCCACATTTCTGGCAAGTGGTTAATATCCAGACTGTACTAGGGGCTCATATCTCTCCAGAGCAAAAAGCAAATACTGTGATTTAAAAATGGACAGAGGACCTGAACAGTTTCCCACAAAAGGAATGCAAGCAGTCAGCAGTCCAGGGAAGGGTGCTCCGCAGCGCCGCTCCTTGGAGAAGTCGAGAACACAGGGAGTTCTCCCCTCACACCTGTGAGAAGGGCCGCTGCCCAACGGACAAGGGGCGAATGCGGACAGGACGGGAAGCGCGGGGCAGGTGTGCGCTTTGGGCAGGCATGTAAACCAGCGCAGCCATTACCAGAAAACGGGGGGAAGATGCCTTGAAAATGGAATCATGTATGGTCCAGCCACCCCTGCTCCAAGCATGCGCCCAGGGAAATGGACTCAGGTGTCTGCTTTCCTGCATTTATTGCAACCTTATTCACAACAGCCCTGATGTGGACAGGTACCAAGTGTCCACCCACGGGGGAATGGAAAGACAATGTGGTGTGTGTCAGCGACAGAGTATTACTCAGTCATGAAAAGGAAGGGTGTGAGACAAGTGACGGTGCATTGGCTACCTTGCTCAGGGCATTTATTTCATAGTGTCCACCACCAAATTATCACATTATTCACTTGCCGTATATATAATTTTCTTCGTCAATTATACCTCAGTAAATCTGGTAAAAACCAAAACCCTCTCTTCTTCCCCTTTGGTTATGGTTTTCATTTTTCTGGTTACACTTTGGTAGCCTTTATTTTGGCTTTGACATTTCTAGCTCTAATTGTGTCTGGCTTTAACGTTTGCCTACCAATATTTGAGACCATCTCCCCACTGGATTCTGCTTGCTTCTCACAGGAAGCGGGGCAGAACAGCCTGCAGTTCCTTGTCGCCTCTGTCTCCTCCTCTTCCCACCAGCACACAGCTGGTGCCACCTCCTTCTTCCCCACGAGTGGTCCCTGGCTTGCAGTGTCCTTGCCCACTCTCGCTGCTGCCCTGCCCCAGACAGCCAGGCGTTCAGGTGACAGAGCCCGGCTGGGGTCCGAGAGGACGGGGCTCAACTCTGGCTCTGCCACTTGCTAGCTGTGCGGTCTGGGGGCAAAGCAACCAGAACTGTGTCCCTCATCTGTAAAATGGGGCCAAGGCATGTAAAGCAGCTGACTGACTGCACTGGATTCCCAACCAACTTAACCCATCCTCTTCTCCGTGGAGCTTCTGCTGTGTTTTAAAGGCCACAAATAAAAGAGGCTCCCTTGTATCTGAGGATCCGATCCCCTGCGGAACGACTCCTTGGGGTGGCAAAGTACATTTTCATGAATGATGAAACCAAGGCTCAAAGATATTCAGCAAACTGCCAAGACGATCAGCAGTAAGGCAGGACAAGAACCAGGACTGTCAGCCTCCTGCAAGCGGCACAAAGACCAAGTCCTGGTGCCGCGTCTCAGCATCCAGTGCTCTTTTCCTTCTCCTGCATTCAGGGGAGAAAGAGTCTCAGGTGCACCCAGTCCCACCAGTTCCAGGTTCAAGGCTGCTTTTCTCCAGGTGCAGCTTCCTCCCTGTTCCTGTCCCCCCTCACAGTGGACGGATGCTTCTCTCCCGGTGCGTACCTGAGTCCTTTCCCTCCCCCACAAGCCCTTGGTACTAAGCGGTCACAGGCATGGCTTAGTAAGCACTTGCTGCTTCGATCATGAGAAACACACATGTGAATGTCATCCAGAGCGGGGGTGGGGATGCGGCAGATGTTCCACAGGGATGGGGGGTGGCAGGGGTGGAGGCTTCAGGGTAACTGCAGTGCGCCCTGGAACCTGGCCGGTCCCCTTTGAGGACCTACCTGAGCCATCACTCTGATGCTGCTCAGAAGGGCCCTCCTGGACTGGGGATACAGGGCAGTGGCACAAGCACCTGCCTGGCAATCGCAAGGTCCTGAGTTCGATTCCCGGTACCAAAAAAAAAAAAAAAAGAAGGGCCGTCCTTCTGCCTCTAGCCAGCAGTTTCCAGGGGCAACCCCACATGCTGGGGGCTGTGCAGATGTCTACAGATCTCTGTCAGCCCTGCTGTCTGGTTGCCAGGGACACCCCTTCCACCTGTGGGGGGACAGGCACAGCTCTCAACTAGAAGGAGGAGCTGACTTGCCCTCTACATCCTACCAGAAGAGTTTACCTTGGGTGCCCGAAGTCTCTGCCCCATCCCTGGAGGTGACAGCATCCTCCCAACATTTCAGCCTGCGCAGGCAAGAAAGGGCTGCCAGGCCCAAGGACCTAACATCTGCATTTCCCTTAAAAATGTGATCTTACCGAAGGTCCTCCCTTCCACGAGATCAGGTATAACTGACAGGCTCTCTGCGGCGTGACGTTCTCCCAAGGACCCCAGGGAGGGGTCAGGAAAGAGGCCCAGCCCTGTCCTGGCCTTGTCTGGGGGAACACTTTACCTCTGTAGGGTCTTCCTCCAGGCCTCTAGGGTGTGGACCTAAGATCCCCTCCCTCGAGTCAAACACTGCAGCCAGGAACCCTCTGCCCTAGAGCTGGGCACGCGCCAGTTCCCTCAGGGAAACCCACACTTCATGTCTTAGGACACAGGCCAAAAGGGGGTCTCTGCTCAGATAAGGATCCTGAGGCGGCAGGCCATACTCCTGGGGGCTCCTTTCCACCCAGAAAGTCCCTGGGAGGAGGACACCAACTTGACTAGCTGAGCGGTCGAGGGATGGGGAGGCCTGGTCAATCCCGTCTCCCAACCCAGCAAGGGCCGCAGAGACCCTGGAGGAGAGCAGGGCAGGGAAGAGGTGTCTGCGGATCTGTGGGTGGTGGAGCCCACACCCCTAGACCAGGATGTGCATCTGCAGCGCAGCGGTGCCCGGGGATCTGCTTGCACCCTGGGGCTGAGCAGAGGCAGGGGTGTCTTCCCTTCCAGCCAGCCAGGGCCTTGGTAACTTGCGGGCGGTGGGTAGGTTGGAGAGTGCAGGGACCTGGGCGAGGGGGCCGGACCGGGACTCCACACCACGGGGAATACCAGGCCTGAGGCCACCGTTTAGAAAGTGATCAGGGGTTGGGGGAGGAACCGACTGGGAGGGGACAGTCTTTTGATCTACGCCCCAGGCGCCCTCCATTCTCAGGGCTCAGGCCCAGGAGGTGCCTGGGGCACTGGAGGGACACAGCCCCTGCTCCTCTGCATCCAACCTGGGGCTGGGGCCAGGCAAACCTGGAAGTGCCACTTGGGGGGCTCGAGCCCCAGGGCAGCCTGGCCTGGGGTCGAAGCCAGACAGGGGCGAGGCGTTAAAACCACCTCACAGCTCTGTCCCCACACACCGCAGGCGGCTGTCCCGTATTCTAACTGCAAACGGACTCTAGTTGCTTAAAATATGGCAACGTCGATAGGACTAATTAATTGGAAATAAGAAACGAAAGAATACAATTAAACGAGAAGAGAATCATTTTCTAATTTAATAGAGGGACATTTATAAAGATCACAAGCTAAAAGGCATCGAATGATTCTATCGACATTGTATTAAATCAGAGCCAGCCCGTGCGGGCAGGAGGACCCTACAAGGATGTCCCAGTCCACAAGACTAAGCGGCCTGCCTGTCCCTGTCCCTGTGCTTGTGCCTGTCCTGTCCCTGTCCTGCCGGGTGGGACGGGCTCTGAACGGCCAACGCAGAGCTGGGAGTGTCCTGCCTCCCGGAGTCCGGGGCGCAGATATATTACAACCAAATTACTAATTGCAAAATGAAATTGTCAATAAAGCTTCCCCCTTGCGTATACAATATCCTTAAATATTAAGATATTTTATTAGACCCATTTCCTAACAATAATTTATTGCAATAAAACAGACACTGCAGGTCCCCTGAAATTGTCTTTTCATAATGAATAAATTCAAGTGGGCTAATTAATATATAAACTAGCCCGATTTGTCAAGTTGATTTGTATTTTAGTTAATTGTGAAAGTAATTACCACATGGTCAAATTAACAGCTTTCTGGAAATGACCAAGCCTGAGGTTTTATTTCCTTCCTGGGTGAAGAAAATTCATTTTTCCAAGCTCTTGATGTGATGAATAAAAGTCATAAATCTAGGTGATTGGTGCAGGCAGAGTCTAAATGGCTTCATATTTCATTTTAGGTTTAATAGAAATATTCATGCTCTGTTTTAATGAAATTAAATTGAAGGGGGATGGGGCTGGGAGGCCGCGGAGGGTTGCTGGGGGCTTAAAGGGACCGCACAGATTTTCCTCCCACCCGGCCGGGTGCCTAGGTCCCCACTTCTGTGACTGACCTGCTCCTTTCCTTGGCCGAGGACGGGTGGAGGAGGGTGCTGCCTGGGCCTCTCACCTAGAGTGCAGGTGGACACCCCACCTGGAACCTGGGCCAGGTGCACTATCTTGGGTCCCCCAGCGTGAGCCACGCCCTCAAGGAGTCCTGGAGCAGTCGGGAGAGTCCTGTGCTCTGCGCCTGCTCTGGTTACACTGCCCTGGGTCCTAGGGTCCCGCCCTGGCACCTTTTGAGGACCAGAAGATGAGGTCTGTAAGGCCCGGTGCTGTTCCTCAGACCCCTGCACCCTCCTTCTCCTCCCAAGGGCAGGCCCAGCATCCTCCTCCCCTCCCGGGTGACCCTGGCCAGACCGGGCACCGAGGCCTCTCCGGGGCAGAGCGGGGGAAGCGCCCCAGACCCGGCCATGCTGCGTCCTCACTGGGTCAGGTACTGGAGTTTAGGGGCCCAGCTGTCGTCTCCCTGGCCCCAGGAAGGACCTGGCCAGCCGGGCCCCTTAATGGAGCTGATCTGTGACTTGTTGATTTCCCCTGAGCAAATCAGGGTTTGATGCAGTTCAGCAGGAGTGGTGAGCTGATGAATTGACAAAAACTAATCAGCTTTATTGGGAAACAGGTTAAGGGCGCGGGTGAGCCGGTCACCCCCAGCCTGACCCCCGCGTCCATTAGCCCAGCGAGCCGCTGATTGGAGTGGGGAGGCCGCCCGCGTATGCTCTGAAATTGCTTTCATAAACTAACCATTATCAGCAGTCGATGCGGGCAGCTAATTTAGAGAAGACGTCCCGGCACGACACATCTGTCATTCAGGTTTATGCATCATTATCTCATTTACAGAATGTCGCACTGTAATATGTGTTTTTGGCAATAGGCTTGGCCCTGCGCCCGGGCTCCACCACTCCTTTTAGCCACATGGCAGGGACCCTTCTACTAGCCGCTGGACGCCTCTTCCCCTCTGCGGGGCCTGGAATCACGGATTGGAGTCTAGAGCCCCTCACACGCACGTACCCGCCTTCACGCGCCTGCCTCCTGAGGTGAGCACGTGGGCGCACACGAACGTGCACACACCACAGTGCGGGCTCCCAGCAGCCTGCGCCTCTCTCTTGAGCCTGAGGGACGGGTGCTCTCCCACCTGGGAGCTGCATGTCAGTTCTGGGTCCTGCCCTGGCACCCACGTGCCCCGAGTGCAGCCTTAAGGTGCGCGACCCGCTCCACCACCCCCTCCCCAGGCTGAGGAGCCCAGGTTGCCCAAGCGTCCGCACCCCGGGATCGCCCGTTCCCTCCGGCTGCACCGGCAGCCTGACCTTCTAGCCCCGGGGCGGGCTGCACACTCCCCTGCTGCGGCTCCAGCACAGATGTGCTGCCGGGAGAGGCCACCTGTTCGGTGGGTAATTATTTTAATGCAAGGGGCCCAGAGTCACCAGGTTCGCGCCTCCTGCAGCGACAGACGGCTGCAGGGCTGCGGGGCTCCCGGCCTTTCAAAGGAATTTCCCAGATGGGTCGGGGGGAGGCTGGGGCGGGTCACCAGGGGCCCTTTAACGAGTTCATTAGCCAAATGATCTCCCACTGCCAGGGCGGGAGAACTGCACGGCGGGGGAGCCGGCGGTCCTTCCCCTCGAGCTGGGTCTCTGCCGGAGCCGGGAGAGAAAAGGTCCCCCTTGTGGAGGCCGGGTGCCGCCCACAGCAGCACCCCACAGGTACGAGCCTCCCCTCACAAGCACGTGGGAGAAAGTGATCCGGGTCGCGAAAGGAAGCAAGTGCCATCCACAGCTCGGGCTTCGACGGAGGACGCAGCTCCTGGCCGGGGCTCCAGGGCTGCAGTGGAGCCCGGGGGTTCTGAGCAGCGCTGAGGCTTCTCTAAGTGGGGTCGAGTGCCAGGTGCGCTTTGTCACAGGTGTGAGGGGCAGCAGAGGAGACCTTGGGAGACACAACGTAAAATACTGAAGCAGAGCCTCCTGGCGGGCTTGGGAGGGGTCAGAGTCCTTCTTAAACACGCCCTCCTCCCGCACTGGCTGCGACCTTGGCCTCCCAGGCCTGCCACTCCTCTTAGGTAACTCTGGCCACCAGTTCTGGGGGTCGGAGGGCAGAAAACCCTTGACTGGACCAGCGTCCTTCTACCCTGCACAGCACAGCACAGCACAGCCCCAGGCAGAAAACACGGATGGGGCTGGGAGCCGGCCGAGAAAAGCTGCCGAGGAAGGAACAGGTGCCCTGTCCTGGTCCTGCAGGCAGAAGACCCCTCCTGGGGTCCAAGGTCTTGGCCGCAGAGGCCTTGTGCCCAACGGGGACCTCCCTGTGCCTGCCAGGGTCTCCCTCTTTTCCTCCTTTGCTGGCCTCTTCCCTTCCTCCCTCTCTGCCGCCAGCAGCCGCAGCTTCTGCCGCCTCAGCAACTCCTAAATAGACCAATTATCCGGGACTTCCTGCCATTATCTAACACGGATTTGGACATTAGTGCGCTACTATTCGGCCATAATTTCGAGTCAGAATGCACTAAAAAATTCACTCACTGGAGCATTACAATGTTCCTGGGCAACGTGTGCCTCTGCGTGTTTGTGCTTCCTCCCTGCGTGTCTAACCCCCACCCCAGCGGCCGGGCGGTCCTCTCCCAGTCCCGGACAGACGTGGCAGCCAGTGGTCTGCTGATTTGTTGTGTGCCTGTGTGTGTTTGTCCCGGTGGCACAGTGCCCTGAAGTGTGCCCTCCTCCACCTGGCGGGTGGTCAGCAGACGGGTGGGTGAGGAAGGCGTGCACACACCATGCTGAGGGACAATCCCAAGGAGCCTTGCAAGCCAAGTCTTCAGCGTCTCACGCAGAGCTGGGAGCTGGGCACCACTGTTCTGCTCTTCAAACTCAGACCCCTCCCACCTGCAAGGGTCACCAGGGAGTGGCCAGATGCTGGTGCCCTTTGGAGGGGGCAGCTTGGTGCCACATTCTGATGCTCACCGTGTGAGCACTTGCAGTGCACTCGGTCCTGAGCCCTGTGACCCTACAACAAAATAAATAAAAATCTGCATCAAAAGACACGGTTCCAAGGAGCCTTTCCTTTCTGCTGACACCGCGGTTCCCCAACAGGATTAAGGGTGCTCAGGTGACACCCCCATTTGTTTCTGTTCCAGATCCAGAGCTTCTCGTCTGTGCAACAGAAGCCAGAAACACGTTGGGTTCCGGGGTCAGAAGGAGCAGGCAGGGAAGCCGGAAGCTGCCCAGCTCTGGGCATAAAGCGGACAGCTGGATGCCTGCAGAAAGTTCCTAGAGGGGACCCAGGAGCTATTGGGCTGGACACATTCGTCTGCAGCAACCTCTCCCGAAACTTCACCGGGCCCCCTGGGCTGGATGCTTGCAGTGAGGGCTGGCCAGAAGGACCGCCAGTGACACCCCAGGGCTCAGCGTAGGTGTCCCCAGGAAGGTAGGGTCAGGGATGAGGGCCACAGGACAGCCAGCTGTGCAGGGAGAGGCAGGGGAAAGGATGGAGCGGTGGCAGACACAGCCCTTCTCAGGGATGGGGGGGGTGCAGGTCCACGCTGCCTGAGTCTCCCCCACACCCCTTAAAGGCTGCCTCCAGGGGTCAGGGGGGAGGTCACAGATCAAAGGGTGGCACTGTGGACTTGGTGCCTTTGGCCCTGGCCCTGCAGGGCTGGGATGAGTGGGGGGAACGGATGGATCTTCCTGCCACAGCTCACATTCCTGTGACCCCAGCTGTGGCTGCTCCCCCATGCACTTCCGGGCACAGCTGAGGAGGACGTGGGTCTCTCGTGGGTGCAGCACTCACCCTCCTCCTCCTCCTCCTCCTGCCCTGCCCCACTGCTTCTCCAGCAAGTCGCACTGCCACTTGAGGGCCTGTGTCCCCGCCTCTGGTCTGGTCAGTCCCCCAGCATCCCCAGCTGGTCTTCAAGCCTGGTGTGCTTCAAATGAAACAGAAGTAAGCTACATTCAGGGGGCTGCACAGGACAGGCCCTCTTCTCAGGAGGCCCTGGGTGCGGGTCTTCAGCAGGGGGAGGTGGCAGGTACACAGAGGGACCAAGGAGAGCCACCCTCTCCCCCCCACCCCCGTTCTCGGCCTTGGGGAGCCGCTGCAGCTCTCCTTGTACCTTCCGTGCTTCACTGAAGGGCATCCGTGTATAGGTGACAGGAAAGGGACTTCCCACTGCCCACCTTGGCTATGCAAATACCTAGGTTTGGCTCCAAATCCTCAAAGCTCTTCGTGCCTAACTCCAGAGACCAGACACAGATTATCGCCCGCTTTCTCTTTTGCAGCCATTTATGTAAATCTCCAAGCTCTCTCCCGAGGGGCAGCAGGAGGCGTGGCTATAGGCGGTATTCAGTGACCTGACACCCCCCACACCTAAGAAAGGGACCTCGAGCCAGATGGGCGGGTGGCGAGGGACACTAATTCTTCTGCCTCCCCGGGAAGCCACTCTCCCTGGGCTGCTGGAGACCCAGGGCTGAGAGCCCTTTGATCTCTCAACTGGGCCTTTCCAAAGCCCCAAGGGAGCTCCGCTTCAGCGAGGCTGGGCCAGCCCGGGTAGCGGTGCCAAGAGACTCAGCATGCCGGCTTGACATCTTGTAAACCACAACGAAGATCCTGAACTTGGTCCAGAAAGCCCCTCTGCTTCGAGTTCTGATCTCAAACTGGGGCACTGTGGGATCACTTCCGGACCCTCTCTGATCCATTCTGTTTGGCCTCTGCTTTGCAGACAGAGGCAGGAACCCTGCAGTCAGGGGTCACAGGCAAGCCCTGTCCTGCAGCACAGGGCCCCACAGGAGGGTGCGGCTCAGAGCCGGTTCCCGGGGAGCGTTCTCCAGGGGCGCCCCCACCCCACCTCCAGGACCCAGCGGTAAGGGTGGTGGTGAGCCGCTGGGAAGTATGGTTACAGCAGAAAGAAAGAGGGCAGTGAATTCTTCTGAGGCTTATGGGAACAGAGAGCAATTCTGCAGAGGAAGCAGTGCCCACCCCCACCCATGGGAGCCTTGGCCTTAAGTTGGACAGGCGGGAGGGCAGGTTCTGGGGATCCTTCTCGGAATGGTCTCTGCATCCACGCCCTTCCTCCTGCTTCTGAATCCTTTCCCTGGGGACCTGCCCCAGGGTGAATGGGAAGGTGGTCCTGAAGGAGGTGGGGCCTCAGCAGCTCACTGCCCAGGGGAGTGGGCGCAGCCACTGGCGTCCTGTCCAGAAGTGGGACCAGAATCTCAGCTTCCTCTCCTGGGCATCATGGAGGTTGGCTTGTGTGGTCATGGCAGTCAGATTTGTCCCAACCCAACTCTCTGACTTCCCTGTTGCTGAGACTGAATCCCATCACTTAGGAGGCTGAGGCAGGAGAATCACTGACACTTCAAGGCCAACCTGGACTACATATCCTGTACCAAAAGACAACAAACAAGAAACGAAAAAGAAAAAGCACGTGGCACAGAGGAAATGTTGAGGACATGTGGTGTCCCCTGTCCCCCACAGTGGCAGCACTGCCTTTGACATCCCAGAGACATAGTATCTAAAGATAAGACACAGGGCCGGGATATAGCTCAGCGGTACTAGCGCCTGCCTGGCAAGTGCAAGGTCCTGAGTTCCATTCCTGATACCAAAAAAAAAGAAAAAAAGAAAAAAAGAAAAAAAGACAAGACACAGACTTTGTAATCTGAACTAGAATTTCTACGATCTCGATATTGGATATTGTTATCAGCTTTCGCAAAGTCGTGGGGCATTTATTCCTGAAGCTGTCGCTAACCTCCTAACCTTCCCAACTGTGCCTACTGCAGAACTAACTTGCCTCTGTCAGATGAGAAAGAAATGTCCCTCCTGCCGGCAAAGCCCGGGTACCAGCTCTCACCCTTTAAACCCCTTTAGTGCCTTTCTGGGCAGTCCCACACAGGTCTCCCCTCACCCCCGCCCCCGGCCGGCAGCCCATCCTTGGGCCCCTTCACCTGGACAGGAAGCCTGCCCCCCCACCCCGTTAGGGAAGCTCACTCTAACGGGGTTGTTGACACAGCCTGGTGCTGGTGGCTGCTCGCCTTCCCAACCAGCCTGTGAATTCCTTCGCCTTCGAGAAGGCTTCCAGAAGCCCTTGGAAGTGGTCATACTGTAAATATCTGATGTGTGTGAAGGGTCTCTGGATTCTCTTCTCTGTCGTGCCCAGCCCCGGGAAGCCTTTGCCCCTGATTCCTCAGCTGCTGGGCAGTCGGGGAGCCTTCCTTTGCTGCTCTCCGTCGAGGTGGTGGGTGGGCCGCCGCCTGCTGCCCGCCGGCCACCTTTGCAGGGAGGCAGAGTGTCGTCTGCAAGACCAGCTTGGTGGCATAGGAGCAAAGTCTCCGACGGGCTCAGCGCGCACAGCCTCTGCGCTCCTTCCCTCGCCCGGAGGCAGGGGAGAGGCTCCCCCAGATAATCCGTGGACGCCGAACTGGAGCTCCCACGCACATTTACGCACACGCGCGAGCGCGCGCGTACACACACACACACACACAACGAGGTGCACGGGACTTCCCAGTCAGGTGTGCAGGTTCGACTTCCACAGAGCTGAGGGCGGAAACAGTGCCCGGGTGCGCCCTGGAGATCTGGGAGCGCGAGGGCGGGACTGCCCGGCTCCCCCAGATACGCGTGGGCAGGCTCCGGGGG